ATAGATGCTTCTCAAGCAAATCCTGGGACGTCATTCTCCCCTTGTACTCGGCCTTGGTGAGGCCACAGCTGGAGTACTATGTTCAGTTTTGGGCTCCACAATTCAAAAAGGATGTGGAGAAGCTTGAGAAGGTGCAGAGGAGAGCCACGCGCATGATCAGAGGTCAGGAAAACAGACCTTATGATGAGAGGCTGAGAGCCATGGGGCTCTTCAGCCTGGAAAAGCGCAGGTTCAGGGGTGATCTGGTGGCCACCTATACGTTTATCAGGGGTGCTCATCAGGATCTGGGGGAACGTCTGTTCACCAGAGCCCCCCAAAGGATGACAAGATCGAACGGTCACAAACTCCACTGTGACCAATTCAGGCTGGACATAAGAAAGAACTTCTTCACTGTCTGAGCCCCCAAGGTTTGGAATAGACTGCTACTGGAGGCGGTTCAAGCACCCACTTTGAACGCCTTCAAGACACATTTGGATGCTTATCTTGCTGGGATTGTATGATCCCTGCTGACTTCCTGCCCCTGGGGCAGGGGGCTGGACTCGATGATCCTGCGGGGTCCCTTCCAGCCCAAATGTCTATGAAATCTATGAAACCAACATCTGGAGGAAAAACCAACTGTCTGTGCCTGAAGATGGACCCCTACCCTGGCTTTTTGCAAGAAACAAGTGTTGTAGAGTGCTTTTGGAATGTGCATCTCTGTACCAACAGAAGTTCTGTGTTTTGCTTTGTAAGATTTTGGAGATGAGATCAAGACAGACTCGTCTGGTAGCCATGCCAGAGTGGGTGAATCCACCGCTCCTCCTGAGGAGTAAGAATCTAACAGTAGCAGGGCTATTACATCCTCAAAAATACAGTTTTGACCTCCTCTCTCTGCCCACCTCCATACCCCTCATGCATCAAGCTAGTCTACTGTTTGGTATGGGAAGGATTTGCCCCTGAAGACCTCTTAGATGTTCAGAGAAAGATGTGATGGGATCTGATGCACGATCCACACAATCACACCTCCTACCATGGCACAGGATCAAGCATCTGGTCCAATCATGCCTTATTGCCATTGCAGGGGGTGGCCAGGATCACAAACCCAGGCTCCCCCTGTACCAGCTCCCATGGCTGCAAGCCTCATCAGCTTATGGGGCTTGCAGTAGGAGCAGCATGTGGAAACCTGGCCCCACTGGGAGCTTTGTCAGCTGATGAGGCTTGCAGCAGGGCCAGCGCATGCAACCCTGGCCTGCTGTGCTGGGGTTCATGCGGGGGGAAGAGTGTGGAATGCTGCCCCTGTTGTGAGCCTCATCAGCTGATGGGCCTCCCAGCCAGGGCAGCATGTGAAACACTGCTCCTCACTGGTTAATCACGCCTTAAGTGTTACATGTAGATGGAGCCTAAATGTGAAGTAGTGCGATTAAAATAAAACACAATATGCATTATCTTTTTCACTTGTAATCAGTGCAAGTAGACATTTTTTTATCCACTGGGTCACTGAACATTTTAGCAGTCTGCAAGGCAATGCCATCAAAGAGGAGAGTGCTTTCTGAACTGTGGATCTAGCAAAGGGATTGTCAAATTAAAATATCTAGGGTTTAGTGTTCCTCTTGAACAATACATTTGACTATGGACTTTAGTCTCCAATCAGACTTCCCAGAAATCCACATAAATTAGATGTTCACAAAGGTTAGTAATTTTAAATGTGATACAGGAAAAAAAATGCTCTTTTGAGTATGCCTTAAGGGAACTTTAATAGCTCAATGTAACAACTGATTTATGTCCTAATTCATACTACATTTTTCAACTACTTAGAACAGCTACACAGCTTTTATCAAACAAGCAACAGCACAGTTTCTAATTACATATATGAGAAAAGAAAGCTACATTTAAACACTGTGAATGTACATATAATACTGCAAATGCAGATGGAAGATTCTTTACAATTTAAGAGCACTGAGAAATAAAATCAGTGTGTCATTACTTTATTTCATACTCTTAGAACAAATTTCAATTGAAGATTGACTAAAGACAACTGCTGCCTAATCCTTGATGTCTCTGCCAGATCTCTTGTGAAAACTGTGGTCATTTATTCTCTGAACCTAAGGTCACAATCTTTTTAAGCCCTATAGAACATTGTATGTTTGCTTCACCCTTATTTAACTCACATCTCCTTCAAAGATATTTTAAAGAATATTTACCAAGGAGATTTTTTACTTAGTTTTCCCTTGCAATTTAAAGCAGCAAACAGGAGAAGGATCAGCTGAATGGCTCCAGACCAACTGGTATTTTTGAAAACACGCTCTCACTAGATCTTCCCCAGCACAACAAGAACACTTATTTTAAACAACTTGCTTACCTAATTTCCTGTTTGTGGTCATTGACTGTAAGTAAGTGAGGTTCATTTTCTTATCTGCATCATGTAGGTAATTAAAGGAAATTGAGAATGGGTAGTGAAGCTTTTATGCAACTGGGAATGAAGCTGAATGGAGGGCACCAAGGTCAGCAGAGTCCATTATATTTTTATGTGAGAGGCCAGTATGTCTGCCCTGTCCTTGTTTGTTTAGTGTAGGCTGGACAGACTACTAACTGCAAATCTGTTTCTCTGATTTGCCCAGCTGTCCTTGAATAAAGACATCTTCCATTCCAAAATGTTAAATGACAGTGATTGACAACTCTATGATGAACTCTGCTTGTAACCCCCTGCTACTGTTTTCAGATTGCACAAGAAAAGACAGAATAAAGAAACATCCTTCATAATCACCTCAAATGGGACCTGCTGTTCACTCAATATTTTTCATTTTCATTTCCTTTTTCATTAGGAACTTCAATCTGTTCAGCAAATGCTATAGACTCAACTATCCTAAAGTGTCCTATATATTTTTATTACATTGTGTTTGAACACTATATGGGACAAAATGGATTCAGCCGCATATCCATTTCAACATCACTTGAAACAGCAGTGTTATGCCGTGAAATTTCTAGTGTAAATGTTACAATTAGACTAGAAATGATTGCAATGGATTTTCCTTTTTTGCTTGTCTCTGATGTTGCGTTGAAGCAGGACTTTTATATCTTATAACACATATGATACATACCATACGTTATATGTAATATCTATGGGGAAACCATAAACTATTTGGACTGTAACCAGTAGCCAATTACAGGTTTTAACCATGCATTAAAACCGTGCATATTTTGTGGCCCCCATGACTCCCAAAACTCCAACTTGGTGGGAATGTTATGAGTTTCTAGGATTCTTCTGCAGTGCCTCCTTCTGGCTGCTAGAGATTGCTGTGGTAAAATTTTCAGGAAGTTAAGAAGCTTCCGAGACTTCTGTTTTTACTAATCTTCCTGTTGGATTTGCACAAGGTCTGAGACAAGAGGATGGTACACAAGGGAGGCTAGGAGACACAGAAATTGAAGACAGCAGCCACTGGATCTTGATATACCTTTCTCTGCTATAAAAAATGAAGACTGAAGGACTTAAAAAGGTCCTTACAGAGTGTGATCACATCGCCCCTTAACCTTCTCTTTTGTATGA